GGGTTTGAGTGGGCCTTCACGTAATATATAGCGCCGGTGCCTCTTCGCCGATCGGTCCACCATCTCATCAATAGATCCCGTTTTATGAATAATACAAACAATAGTCCGATGAAGAAGAGTGTGAACGACACGAACACTATAACGAAGAGTCGCATCATCTTTACCTCCCTATAGATCTGGTTTTGTTCGCAGTGTATGTTGTGATGGTCTACCATAATCAGGTCGTGTCCTCGAAGTGCGGCCGGATTCGCGCAACTGATCCAAAACAGCAATTTATTAATTTTTATAACAAGAAATTATATGTTTATATGAGCTATGATTGTGTGTTCATAAGTGTTATGTATAAAAAGAGCTGCCATTCAGTACTCACATGATTCCATGCGTGAGCTCTGGTCTTAAGTGACAGTATTTGGCCCAAAGAAGATGACAATCGCAAGTCCAGGGATTCTCTCTCAAGTCAAGAGTTGTCAGATTACCTGCAATTACATTACAGTTAAGTCATATTCTCATTATAATAATGGACTCACAAAAAGGCAGAGTATTCTCCGGAAGTGTTGACAGTCTATTAGCTCTGAAATTAGCTTCTTTGAGGGCAATCCAACTCCTGTTAAATGTGCCGTAAAAGGCATAGCTATCGATATAAGACAAGTGAGGGTTATTACTGATGGAAATCTTCTTCAAGTTAAACAAATAGGAGAACGTCTTCTCTTTCACTTCAATCAATTCGTTCATTTCATCCAAATATAGTTCAGTCAATGTATGCATCTTTACGAACGAGTGTTCGTCCAAAACACGGATTGGATTTTTGCTCAGTTTTAATACTTTTAGATTTCTGGCACTTCGCAGAGGAATAGTGGGCACTAACATGAAGTCGTTGTCCGACAAATCGAGTTCAGTTAACTCAAAGAGTTGATGAAAGATATCGTCTTTGAGTGCGAACGAGGAAATGGCCGATAAGTCGAGTGCTTTCAGTTGTCCCGAATAGCGCAACAGATCTGAGTCCAGAATTCTGAGCGGATTGTGAGCCAAACGTAATTCTTGCAGAAATAAGCACTTCTTCAGCAAATCGTTGGGAAGTATTTCGATGTTATTATAACTCAAATTGAGTGTCAATAGCTTATCAGTGAAGAGCTCTGTGGGCAAAGTCATCAACTCGTTGTGACTCAAATCAAGTCCTCTTAATTGTGTCAACTTTTCGAAAGCATTCGGTTCTATGGTTTCGATCGCATTTGAGGCCAAATCCAAAAACTCGAGACTATCGCTGGAGTCCATGACATCAATCCGTTTCAATTGATTCATACTTATATCCAAAGCGAATATATTTTTAGGCCATTCAGACGCCCCCGGAATGACCGATAGGTTCTGTCGCGTGCAGTCCATCTCTGGCCGGTTCTCGCCTACAGAAAAACATTTACATTTGTCCACACATTTGTCCGGTTCTTCACTCAATACCAATGAACTCAATGTTAAGACCAAAAGAGAGAAGAAGAATATATTGAACTTAGAAGACATGTTTGTCTCTCACATCCAATGTCTTGTTATGAATTGTCTAAAATTGTTAACAAAATGTATAAATTGTTATAAAAAGTTTAGCAAACATTAGAGGAATGAGATGTAAAATATAGTGAAACAAAACCTAAAAAAGGACAACACCTTTAATTTTTATGGTTTCCGTTCACTCGCAATGGTTTTCAGTTCTTCAATGAAATATCGGTTGTTGTGTGCCTTCGATAAGGAGTTATGTTTTAATCTAACAATTTTTATGACTTTATGTTTGCGTAAAGCTTTAACTCCGTACAGAAACCGTTGGCCGAATAAAAGGCTGACGAGTTTAAAACTCTCGGTAAAAATCAGTCTTAGAAGACAGGCCCGAAAAATCTTAGGAATGCCTCAATCAAACCTTTGAGCAAATAATAGATTAGTCAAAACTTTATTATCATGTCTAGTGTCCGAGCATTAGATTTTCAAAGAGAGGTCACTTCCTAAAGTCGGCCAGTATTACAAACGTGTGACTTTTTAATTCCTTAACATTTTAGTGCTTTTGATTGAGAAAGCAGCTGTGAATGCAGTATAA